TATGTTATAACATTCTATTTCGGGCATCTTTGGTTTCTTGTCACACTTTAGCGTTACGCTCGGCTCCCGCTCAACTAAGGTCTTTGATGCACTAAATTAAATGAGCGGGAGTTTTAAAGTGTACAAGAAAAATCCGATAAATAGTATCTAAGTAAGGAAAGACCTTTTATAACGTTATTAGAGTGTCTCAATGGAGCGTCCGCATCACGACTCACGACTAAAAAATTGGCTCTTTCATGCCTCACGCCTAATTTGTTTTTCTCATTTTCACGACTCACTACTAATTTTTCAGCCGTTTCACGGCTCACGGTTAACCCCATTCAGACCCTCGATCACACGATGACATAGTGACGAGATGCCCCATAAGGCCTTTCGTCCCCAAAACCAACCCCCCATGGCAGCCTACGGGACTGTTCTTGAAATTTTTAATCAATTATTTTCATTTGTTAATCCTTTTTTCGCTTTTCTCCAGGGTCCTGTATCGATGAACTACTGTAATCTGTGCTTAGGAATTTCATTCTTCGGAGAGAAACTTGCTGCAAAGGCTTTAATGTCGTCATGACGTCGGAAATTACGATTACTATCGGCATAAAGTCGTCACGTCATCGGTAGTGGGAAAAAAGTGCTGGTCACACAGTAGACTTCAAAGTTATTCATGACACTAAAAGTAATTTAATGCTAAATATTTTTGGTAATCTAAGGCTAGGCTTCTATTCTAATTTATTTTTTTAAAGCGAAATAAAATGTACAGTATATATCATGGTATTTCTACTTCCTTTTCACAGTGATTAAAAGTAAAATTGTGAGACAAATTTTATCACAATTTTGTTAGTAGTCGATCTGCCTTTAGTTGTTTATACAGACAGGTAGATTGTTTCATCCTCATAAATCTTGCAGACAATGTGCTGAATTTTGTCTATATTATAAATGTATAAAAAWTATATGAAAAGAATAAATGGATATTATATATGAGAAGAATAGACTGAAGTTATTAATGTTTGCTGGTCAGCAATTTTTTGGGTTGTGYGGRCTGGAGATGAAATCCCTCTTCATTATGATGGAATAATTATGTTTTGGGGTAACGAACAGTACAGTTAGTGGTCATATCAAACAGAAAAAAAACAAAAAAGATATAACTTGAACTTACAACTCTTGAAGGACGACTTAAAACAAGAGTTCAATATTTTTCCATTCAAATAATTTTTATTTAAAAATAAATGACAGTAACAGATTATATACACAATATAAATGAATACATCAGAACTACTCATACATCTACAGTTGTCACTGCTACTAAACAGTGCACAATGCTCCAAGCTTCAAGACAAGTAAAGGCTGATTTACATGGTACAATTATCACGTGTAGCTTGCAACTCAAATCGTGCAGTTTAAATGCCCCTACGACTTCCTACAACAGCTGTAGGCAACCTAAGACCACAGCTCAAAAACATACAACTTGCCGTAGGAAAACCATATACTACAAGTCGCATGCGACAATCGTACCCTGTAAATTGGTCTTGATAAAGGATCATTGTGTACTAGTGTACCTCAGAGAGAACTTATGTACAGAGTACATATTATCTAATAAACCCAAAAGCTACAATATTTTGAAAGGCATATTTGGTTAAATTGGTATGTCAACCATCATATCAAACAGAATAATAACAAAAAAAAAATATAAGTTGAACTAACAACTCTGTGTTAGTGTGACAAAGCATGTTCTTACCCCTCCCCCCTGACAGTCCAAAGTGTCTTGCTATTGCTCTCTGAAATCTGAAGAATGAGATTTTCTAGTTACTACTTTGTAAAGGTTAAAGCAAGTGCCGCCAGCAGCCCTGAA